AAAATGAGGATGCCTAGCCTGCCCTCCTCCACCAAAGGAATATGTTCTTCCTCCCCTGTTGCTAGGGCTCCATATCTGTTCTCCAGGCAAACTACTGCAGGTAGAGATGAAGACTTCTGCTTGCTGCCAGAGGTCACAAGCTTCCAGCTTCCACCTTCCTTGGAGTCCATGTCCTCTTTCTCCTCTAGTCCTCTTCTTTTTGCTTCTGGCATGCCTTCTTCCACAGTCCTAGAGGTCTCCTCCAGAACTAAATCAATGAACTCCTCTTGGAAGAGTATGCTTTGGAGACCTTGCCCCCTCCTCCCATAGCTCTTTCCTGGTCCTTGAAGAGCACCACCAGGAAGCACTGCTCACATCTCAGGCACTCCCCCACATGGCTGTCACTGGAAGGAACCTGCAAGCTGCAGTCTCCGTAGTGCCATACTAGGACTTGGGTGGAAGCCTTGACAGTATGTGGTCCTACCTAGACAGACACCTCACAGGTGCAAGCAGAAGAAGAGCTGGCAGTGGCAGTGCCTCTAGCATTGTGACCTCCTCCAGCCATTTTTCTGGGTCTTTTAATCCACTGCCTTTCTCTTCTTGCCCTTCTCTCCAAGCAGAGAGAGGCAGGAAGAGGTTCCTAGCAAACTCTCCTCTAAGCTGTCCTGTTCACTGCTCCTTGGTCCCATAATGTTGCCTTTACCATGCTTCCTCCCATTAAGCTTACAGTGAAGGAAAGTGAGAGAGAGTTTCTAGGCAAACTCCCTAGCAAACTCTACCCCCACTTGGGTCTCTAGTTAAGCAAGGGGCTTAAGTATTGGTCTAACTGATGAGTTTTAGCTACTTACACTAAATATTTGTAAGTTAGCTACTTTTAATTAAAGAAAAAACTTACCTTAAAAGCTCTTCTTCAAAGATGGGACAGCAAACTGACTCTCATACTGCCCTGTTTGCTGCCCCTGGTCAGCCCTACTGGCCCTGGACTGGTTCCACCCCCTTGTTGGGGCTTTTGTCAGACCAAGGCATCAATCACCCAGGTAGCACCACTCCTAGCTTCTCAGGTCACATGTCCAAACACACAACCTGCCAAACAAACACTCAGCAAGCCAAACATACAGGCACCTCTAGATCACTTACCTTTCCAAAGCAGGATCTGGTGCCTGGCTTCCCTTCCTCTTCTTTCTCTTGCTCCCAGCAAACTTCTTGCAAACTGCCCTGTTTGCTGCCCCATTCAGCAATGAATTACAATAAATTGGCCATGTATGAGACTTAAAATGTTTTTATTAATGTTTATATTTGTGTTATTTGTATTGTATATGCATTATATTATTTTCTGCAGCAAGCTCACCTGTGAGTTTATATTTTTGCTGGACTGGCAATTTTACTGCTATTTACATAATGTTCTCTTTTGCTGTACAGTTCCTCCTAAAAATAAAATTTCATCTATATAATCTTTTGTATCATGCATTTTAGTAAAATGTGCATTTTGTCAGATACTTAATTTGCTTTAACAGTTCTAACATATGATTGCTTCTTCTACTCACACAGCTTATTGCCTCCTTGATTTTTCTTTATTGGCTTATTATATTTTAATAATTGCTTCCCTGTGTTTTTCTTGCCTCCTCCATACCTGGAACATGGTCCATTATATTATTAAGAAGAGCAGTTTAACATTTAGCAGTTAGACAGTGGGTACTACTACACAAGACATTTACTGTGGAGTTGCCTAATTAGCTCTGCAGTAAAGCATCACCATCTACATGAGTAGTGCTATTAGGTCAGAATAAACTAATTAACTTTGCCATAGGATAGTACTGCCCAACACAATTGCTATTCCACAGCGGAGTTATTTACTCAGCTGCAACGCATGTGTAGATGGTGACTGGGGCTACTGGTTAGCCCCATGCTGAAACACCCTCATGCCCCAGCCAGCCCCTCTGCAGCACCATAAGCTGGATCAGAGCAGTCCCATGCTGGCAGGCTAACCCCCAGGTCACCTGCCAACCCGGGTCTGCACTGCCCTGGCTCAGTGTGCTGCGGTCCCAGGTGTACATGTAAATGCTGTGTCCAGGAGCAATAAACTCCAGTGCAAACTGAGCCAGAGTTTATTGCATCTAATTAATTTCACATGCCCAGTGAGTGTTAAACAGTGAACCAAAGTTAACATCCATTGATCTAGGCCCACTACAAAGAGTTAAACTTTCCTGCTCCACAGAGCTTATAAGCTAAATAGACAAGACACACAAAGTAGAAGAAGAGGTACAACACACAAACCAAGTTAACATAGAGATGGCAGTAAATGTCATATTATATTCATGTGTTTTTCCTTTTTTATGGAAGTAAGTGCTTACCTAGGGACAAAGGTAAGAGGGGAAAGACAAGTGAAAGAAAACTGGTGCGGGGTACAGGACAGGATAATGAAAAGGATAACAAGGGCACTAAAATGAGATGCTTTAGAAGCTAAGATAGAGAGGGAAAGAGAGAAGAAGGTGTAGAACAAACAATGGATAACCCCAGGACAGAGGAAGACTAGTCAAAACAGTTCTCTGAATGCCCAAGGTCCCTGATTTGGTTGTTTCTGTAGATGCTTGTACCAGCTGGAATCTGCGGCTGGCTTTCTTAGAAGATTTCCCCCAAGACCATATTCTATGAACAAGGAAAGGCCCCCCAGAATGATAACTGTTTTGGCATAGATATTTTTATAACTGCTTTTTTGCATGTATAAATATTAATACATACCTCATTACACTCTTGGCTTCCTGTAAATATTTTATCTCTATGTATTAACAATGAAATCAGACACAGCATAAACCAGATATCCCCTGTCTGTTCTCCTTCCCTTGAAGGGGAAATATAGGAGTATTATGTCTAATATTTTAGCCATACCATAAACTTTATTAGTAGAAACTGCTACCTACTTTAGTAAATATAAACAACTGTACACTTGTACAGCTATTGATCCCATCAGACAGTGAGCGCTAACGTAAGCCTTCATTGCATTTCTTTGCAACAAGCAATTAATATCTATGTTCAGAGATACCTACCAGCAAGGATCTAAAACCTTTTCCACATAATTGAGCAGTGGTTCAATGACATTTAGATAAGTTAGACCTTTTATGAATATATCCAGTTGTGGTTTAGAGCCAGTTAACAAATCATACAGCCCAGTGGTGGAACATGTTCATATCAGAAAGCATTAACCAGGAAGGAGGTTTATTAAAGATATTCCGATGCAAATTGCACAGGGAAGAATTTGTATGTCTTTAATGATACTTAAGAGGGATTCATTTTCTATGGTTTATCTAGTTAAATGGCAGCTTTATTGTTCTTTTAATTGTCAGAGAGTAAAGCACCTTGGGACATTTTGCCTAAAAGGTGCAGTGGAAGAAGTTTTTACTTTGCTGTGTACCTATTCCCAGAGATCAGTATCTAAGGTATTTTACCCTGTTAATCTATAACATGTGCACTTAGAACATTATCTTTTGCTATGTATCCATCCTAGAAAAATCAATGTTTATAAGTAATATTTATCTCCTCCATGCAGACTTATCCTCAGTTTTGTACACTTCTCCCACTGAAATCACTTCGGAGGCTGAAGCTGTTATGCTGCGAGGGTATAATGTGGATTGTACATCGCAATACAAGTTTTCTTTGAATGGTTTATATCTTGTTCATTAATAGACAAGTCAAGCCCCATATACTTCTGATGTATTAGATCTAATTTCTGCAGAAAGGACCCAAGTATAATTAATTGGCAGAAACATTTTCATTGACATTTTGAATATTTTCAACCAACTAATCCCTGTATTGTGTAGTAATTGGTGAAAATTCTAAACATTCTATTGCAGTGTCAAATATATTTTTAAATGGAAAGGTTTTTTCATTAAATATGAAATCAAATAATAAAAACAGTACAACAGTCTCTACACTCTTTATTTTTTAATATAAAATTTTACCCTATCCCCATATTTTTCATCTTCATTACAGCATATGTTCTGTATGTTCATTTTTAAGTTTCAGAGGATTGCTAGATTTATTAGCAGATCACTAAAAATTCACTGAAAACCAGATCTAAAGTTTACTGAAGTCAATGGAAAGATTGGATATACCTTACTCTGAATTATCCCCAGATATTTGATGATGAGTTTAGTCATTTTCCTGAAATGATCAAAACTCTTAATTCTAGCTTTAATATTCTTGTTTATGATGCTTCATATATATAAAGATGTATTAGGAACTGTCATGGGAGAAAATACCAAAGAAAAAGTTGCACTCTTGACTACACAGAAAAGCTGAAGAATTACCTTCTGACAAAGAAAGAAAATAGCAGAGAAATCAAAAGGAACAGGGAAATGGCTTTATAATGACAGATAATGCACAGAAAATCCTGACCCTGTGTATGTCAAGGCATAACCAAGGTCTTCTCCTGGCAAGAGACTCAAATCAGCGGTCATGCCATTACTGGTCTTTTAGTCATTGGCTAAACACTACCTGCTGTAGGTAGTAAAGGCCAGAGATAAGGAAGTAAGGATGAGGCAGCATTAACTTTGTAGTATGTAACAGTTTTTGAGGCCAGCATACAACCAAGAAAAGACTGACTCCCGACAGGGCTGTCTGGCTACTTACCACTCTTTAAATTTGCAGACTCATACATGCATTATTTATACAGAGGAACACAGAATGTAGATTGCAGACTCCTGACCTACACCACTGGAAGATAATAGGATTTCTGTACCCAAAATGGTCGCTTTCTATAATGACATAACCAAAAATAGTGAGAAAGCAGTTTGGAGACAGATCAAGCAAACCACAAAAATGCATTTCCTGTTGCCTTCCCAGTACATGATTTTAGAGAAGTTTTCTGAAGAGAGTTGTCATTTACCAAAGCCAGTGACCTCCAATAGAACTGTTCTGAACTAAATGGAATAAGGAGTGCAATGTTTCAATCAGTTTTATGTATTTGTATGTGCCTGGGTTAATCCAGTTCCTCCCATTCTGTTTTATTGCTTTATTGTGTCTCCTGCTGTGTGTTATCACACCAACCCCATGCCTCCCACTGTCTGGCAATAGCCACTATAACCTTTTTTATTCCTAGCACTTAGCTGATCCTATCCTAAATGTCTTTTATCCGTTACTGAATGTAATCTGATCACTTAACTCTCACATATTTATTCTCTTCTTCCGGTCTCTCCTTTTACAAGGGCATTGACTCCCAAGTGTTTTCCTCTTCACTTTTACTGTGTGCATCTTATTTCCTATGGAATAAAAGAGATCCCAAGGCAGACTATGAAATGTACTCATATTTACCATTTCCACTGTTTGTTTTAGAAACGGGGTTTTTATCTTGTAGCCAACATATTGACATTTTTTCTTAGTTTGCGATGTTAGAGATATTTTTCTAAAGCAAATGAAGATAGCTGGCTTGATGACAAAACAGCAGCCTGTCTGCTACAATGCTACTATCAAAAGGCTGAATCTTTGGAGGATGGGTATTCAGGATCTGATCAGATGCCATGGACACCTGTAGATGAGGAACAACTCTAGACAAGTTAAGGGAGTTATGTTGCTATAAAGCAGGTGTAAAGTAATATCAGAGTCTGGGCCACTGGTTGTGCTGTGTTCACGCAACCCACAAATTAATCCCCTGCCTTCATCACTCATTGAATAAAAGGGACAAAAATAACCAAAGAAACAAAATGGCAACCCCAAGAATGAAAGACTTGGCAACAGTTCACAAACCGAACCCTAGTAAGCTTAGTGGGTTGACTGGGGAGAGTGAGAGCTAAAGGAAAATAACCTTCCCAACTTTGCATCTTCAGGGAAACTGTAGATAAATTCATGTTACAGTGCACAGAATAAAAAAAAAAGGGGGTAATTTACAAAATGAGTCATGTTTAGCTTCATAGCAATCCTTGACACGTCCTCTGGAAGAACAAGAAATTGTGTTCATTTGAAGCAGTGTTCTTCAGTGAAATCTTCCCTTCAGAGCTCTCATGTTTGGAGGGAACAGATTTAAAGTGATATTTACGTGAAGCAAACAGAACTTTTCTGAGTTGTTTGACAGGAATTATTCATGCGTCCTGACACAACTTAAAAGGTTTGCAAAGTACTAAAATAAATAATTCTAGTGATGTCTCTTTGGAAGGATTAAGAATCAGAAATGATTCAGCTTCAGTTTTTTTAATCAGTGAAGCATCATATATTCTTACTTTTAGGGAACTCTTTTTAATCTACCTTCTTCTGCTTGATCTTCTTTATTTAGTACTGTGTATCTTGCAGTTGTATTAGTAATAATTTACTTTTCCTCCTCAAAAGGCTATTACATTTTTCTTATTTTTGATGTGTACTCAGGTGCATAATGCAAAGGGAGAAAAACAGATCTTGCTTTACCAAGACAGCAGCTCAGAAATACAGCCTACGTTAGTGATAACTGGATGGTCAGTCTATTTATACCAGTTAACACCTTTATTCTTGCATGATAAGAACATTTAGAAATAGATTAAATATTTATGCATGCTTAAATGCTAGTTTGCATTCATCAAATAGTAGGAAACTTTACTGTAGCAAAACTAGCTCAATAAATTATGTCAATGTTGTTGTGCCTAATGGGTAAGAGAAACTATAATTCTGACAAATGTCTTGATAGTGTTTCTTCATACAAGGTGTTATTTGCATGAAATTGCCATACAATAGACTTGACTTTAAAATAGCAAGAAGAGTGTTCCAGAGCAGTTAGTAAAATATTTGCACATTTTATACTACTTATCCATAGAATTTAGGAACTCAGTTCACAGCACTCAGCTCCTTGAGATCTATAATTACTGTACGTTTCATATCTCTGAAGAGCAGCAGATTCCTTATAAGGAAATGGAAACCAGTCTAGAGGCATGTGCTAACAAAACAATGGAAAATAGCCCAGAAACAATGCCCTTTTCATGCCGCCTACGAGGCCTGACTACTGTGTAAGCAAAAGCACAGTAGACTTTTAATGGGAATTATAAGAAAATTAACTTGATGCCTAAAGGCTTTAAGAGGGCAGAGAGTACCTTGTGATTGTGAAAGGGCTTTGCACACAATTGAATCCACTTACATGTTACTCTCAGGATGCAGCACAGACCTACACATTAAAAGTAATATTCCTGGAAAAAATCCTGACTACAAGACAGATTCAACAAAGGGCATGGGTGTAGGAGTAAGGCAGAATGTAAGCACCTAAATCCAAAACCTCAGTGCTGAACGCCACCTGCCCTCCTAGACGCATACATATATGCACTCTCCCAGTTGCCCCCTAAGCTCCATGGATGCCTCACTTTTTCATTTCAAATGCTACAGGGCCATGCAGATTGTATAGTAAAGGGGTACCACACATATGGCCCACAGGCTGGATCCAGCCCATAAAGTCATATGATCCAGACTGTGGGTCGCTGGACTAATTCTATGTCTGGGCCCCAGCCCCCTAGACAGGCTTTGTGTGCTGACTCCAGAACTGGTCTGGATCCATCTGTGCCAGAGTTTGCACATGGTGGGGAAGAGGTACCAGCTCTTCAAGGCGCTGTATGCAGTGTGCGCCCCAAACCAACCCCTGTTGACCAGTCATGAGTGGCCAGTCCAGCACCACGTGCAGCATGCACTGGCCCAGGGCCAGCTATGCATGTTGTGTGTAGGGTTAGCATGTGGCTCTCACTGCCTACAGCATGTGGGTTAGACCTGACATTGTACACATCACAGGGAATCTGAGGCATGGGCTGCATATGGATGGCAACCTGGACCAACCCCTTGTGCTGCCTCAAGCACCAGGTCCAGCCTGCGTGTCATGGGTAGCATTGTGCATACAACATGCAGGCTAAATCTCGTGCTGCAGGCAGCACAGGGGGTCAGTCCTGGTCCTGATCCCAGTCCCAATCCAGCCTGCAGAGTAGCCCAGGGAACCACATCTGGCTCATAGAGCTAGATGAATTTGATACCTCTGATGTAGTACATTCTCACACAGAACATCACACTTATTTTTCTCCAAGTAAAAATAAACTAAAGGCTTTACTAATATGCTCAGAGCCTAGTGCTATATTATTCAGTTTAAGATCAAAGCAAAAACAAATAGCACTTTATTGGAATTAATTTGTTATATCATATATTATGTATCAAAACACAACAAATGAGGCAAAAAAATCAAAAGATGTTATTTCTTTATTCCTGTAGCCATTAGATTTATCACATCTAGCCTTCTTGGACATCTTGACAGTGCATCCAATGCTTCACTGAAAGTTATACCTACACCTGAGATAATATTTTTAGCTACAGTTAAAAACAGTTTTCAGGAATGTGAAATAGGAGTTACATTACCAGGGGTAGCTAACAGACAGCAGAATTGCAGAAGGGAGAATAGCTTGATTAACTGAATATCAAGACCACTTAAAAAAAAAGAGAGGGTCATTAACACCTGTGGAATAAAGAGTGTAGAGGGAATTGGGTAGATTAAATAAGACATGAAGTCAAGTGTCTCCCTCACTGCTGTTTAAATAGAAATGCTGCTGTCACTGCCAGGCAGTTGGTTTTAAATTTTGGGTGGGCCAGGAATCAAAGTGGGGTGCAAAACCCAATGAGTCTGTAACCTAGTGACTAGGATCCTTGAGAACGTGGGGATCTTGAGTTCAGCTCCCAGCTTTCAGGAGTGCTGTTATCCAACGCAAGTTTAATAAGAACTACAGAAATAGTCCAGGCACCAAAAAAAGTCCTCCTTCCCTCCCTAAGTCCTCCCTAAACGCTAGGTTACAGAACTGCATTCCTGATGCCTCTTGTTGGCTCAGTGAATCTTGAATTCCATTCTTCACCGCATGACAATGCCAACTAGAAAAGTGGAGTCCCTCTCTGCAAAGTACTATTTGGTTGGGTAGTTATGTCATGCTTGTGGGTCATAGGAAATGTAGGTTTGAATAATTCAGGCAGCAAAAGGAATTTAATGTAGATTTCCCTTTTCCTAGGCAAGTACTGTAGATCATAGTGTAAAAGGGTAAACTTGTCCTGCTCCAGCCATATTTTAAAAAAAGAAATAAAAAACTGAGCTATAAACAGTTCTTTACAAGAAAGGGCACAGGCATCTGTCTTGAAAAGAGAGATCAGGGCTGTGGATCCAGACTAGACAGAAGCAGTTGCCTGCAGCTCTGAGTAAGGTAACTAAGGTACTGGATTGAAGAATCACCCTCATTTTCAATGTTTCTTGTTGACTACTTCTAGGCACCTACACATTCAACACTATTTTGTATTCTGAGATATCTAACTCTACAAGGGAGTGCAGCTGACCAGCCCGGGGTTCTGGATCCCATTCTGGCGGTCAGGACCCTAAAATTTAGGCACACGAGTTCTGTAATATATCTGATCCTGTCTCATTAATCATGATTCCTACCGTTGTTTTTTTCAATAGAAGTTGTAAATTATTTTCATATTCTGCAATAAAAAAGATATTTTGCATGTTACTTTATTGGGAAACAAAAAGTTACATTCTCATGGCTTTGCAGCAGCAGAAGATTGTAAGCATTGTCCACAATCTATCTATTTATTTCAGGATTTTATCTGGAAGTATTTTTAAAAATACAAATTCTGTCAATGCTGTGCTTGGAACAGTGTTGGAATGACAGTCCTAGAAATTGAAACTTTATGTAAAAGCAGGGCAAACATCAGTGCAAAATACCTGTACTGTCATTTCTAAGATACATCATTTGTGATATATATGGAAGTGCAGAGGGACAGCTGGAATGGGGCAGCACTTATAAGGGAAAGCCATAGCCAATATATCTACAAAGTGCAACGGAGCTGTGCTAACTCCAGAATCAAAGCAGTATATAGCTTATCAGCATGATGCTGTGTTCAGGCCAAATAGAAGGGAAGGAACATTAGTTCTGACACAAGCTATTATTTCTGCATTGCACTACACTATGGTGTGTAGACATACCAGCTCATTCAAAGCTAGCAACAGTAATTTTACCTTGTGTGGTACAGACAATGTCATGTAGGTCCTCCATCCCTCCACTCTCCATTTTATGTTCAAAAAGACTTATTTCAATTAGTAGGCAGACACCAGTGGTAAGGCACTAGGTTTGTGCACTAGGTTTGGACACAAGCATGAGAATTTGGCCTTTAGTTTTTATGGCTTTTCCATTGCTGCCTTTGAGTTTTTGAACTGAACTCTAAACATTAGCATATTAAAATCTGAATTTAGATTAATATTAGATTGCATATTAGAATCTGTAAACACACCTTTACATCTGAAATACAGTAACAGGTTTGGTCAGTAATAAAATAGTCTGGATTAGATCTCTCATCATAGATAAAAGCTCTTTACTCCATTAACAATCCTGTGAGTCATCCAGTCACAAGATAGCTAGAAATGTTTCATCAATTTAGTTCCTGTTGTTAAAGTTAATGAGTTGTAATCGGCCCTACATGATACCTTGCAAACCTATTAACTTTACCAGTGTTGCAATGTTTGGCATTAAAGGCAGATTTGTGCCCTCTGAGTCATCCAAATAAAATGTATTGCTAAAAGCTATTTTTTATTTCAAACAGAAAATAGACTCGAAGCTACTTTTGCTATAGGGTATAATATTCTATTCTGTCTTCCTTCTTACCATCTACCGAATAACCTGTTTAATATCCCAAATCTTTTATCACATGTTTCTGAAACCTTCATTCTCCCACTTGTTCTCAGTCAAATGGGAACAAATCAGCGACATCTTCAAAACATATGCTTCAAAGAACTGTGCCAGGCAGTAGACAACAGGAAAAGGTGAAATGCCCTGGCACCAGTGAGTAGGTGTATATCAGTCAGTAATGATGGACAAAGGGAGGACTTGTGACTATGAGTAACAGTAATCTCCTGGGGCGGCTGCTGAAACAAAGCCAGTGTATAAGTCATCATATTTAAGATTTATGCTAAGATTTTTATGGGCCAGAGACCTACTGTGCTAGATACTGTACAAACATAGAATAAAATAGGGTTCCAAAGTCTTTACAGTCTAACTATAAAAGAAGAGAACAGCTGGATAAAGATAGAGAAGAGTACAATAAATGAATGGAATAGCCCTGGTCAGCGTGATAGCAACGGTCTTTGCACTTTAGCTGCTTCACTGCTGACAAATCTTTTGCAGTCATCAGAACAAAGAAAAGTTTTAATAAGAGAAGAGAACTAGGAAGTAACTTTGTAGATATTTCTGGGGTGTTCCTGCCAAACATGATGAGCACAACAGGAAAAAGTATTAATCATTGCTAAAGTTTACTATTTCTGTTGCAAGCTCATGTCTCCTACATCTACAACCAAAGCCACATCTTCAGATTAATTAGAGCCAGATACTGCCATCCATTCTCCAGCTGAGTAGTATTTTGCTTTACAAGTATTTTAAATTCAATATGATTTCATATGTAAATATAACAGGGGAGCCTACTCCTGGTACAGGAGTAATGCAAGAACAATTCTGTAGAAAGCAGACTAGAGCAGCATTTCTCAACCTGTGGGTCATGGCCCAAATGTGGGTCGCAAGAATGTATGAAAGGGTCCTGAACAAACTTTAAAAATGGATCAACAAACTTGAAAAATTGATTCTCCTTTAAAGGAGAAAAACATGGTAAACTGTGTCTTTTCCCTTGCAAGCTGGCAGAGTTTTAGCCTGGGTGCAGGTGGGCAGTGTGTCGAGAGTGAGGAGCACTGGGTCGGGACTGGCCATCAATGTTTACAAATGGGTCCTGGTACAAAAAAGGTTGAGAACCATTGGGCTACGGGATGCAGCTAACAGAGAGAGAAGCTGAAAAGCCCAGGCTTTTGATAATTGGGCAGTTGAATTTTTGTTAATGAGTATAGAGCAGTGAATCTCAGCTGGGGTGTGTGGCATGCTGGGGTGCCTTGAGATCCTTTCCTAGTTGCTGCACAGTACCTCACAATGTTAGCATGATTGGGTGTGTAAATGTGATTCACAAGAAAAATAAGAAATGATAGCATTAAAAATATTCTGACCTTCTGTGCTCTTTCTGAGTTCTTTGCAACAGAGTAATTGCTCTATTATTTTTCCTGTATTCAAAAGAGTAAAAATTCAGAGCTGCCATTTTCAGGGAAGTGCTTTGAGTCTATCGAGGAGTATCTCCAGTATACCAAGGAGTGTCTAGAGTCTAAGAAGGTTGAGAACCACTGGTACAGAGCCAAGAAGCAGACCTAAGTGGCTGCAAGAGGGAAGCCTACAGAGAAGTGTGATTGTTTGCAAAACAATATGGAGGGATAGCTTATGAAGAAGCAGAGTTGTGAAGCTGTGTAGGGAGGCAGGCGATGGACAGGCAAGCCTGCAGAGTAGGTAATAGAAAACCTCCATGCCTGGTTCTGAGAAGCAGGGATCAGGTGACCGAGGGGGTTGGGGGTAGTTAGTGATTGTATAGGCTTGGCTCCAGGGCTAGAGAGTCACTTGGGCTCTGATCTTGCTAGGGGAGGGAACTCAGTAGAGAGTTCCACAAAGAGATATTGCCCTAGGAAGTTGGTGAGGAGCCAGCTGGTAGAGATGGGGAGAATCTGCTCTGTGGCAAGTGTACCTAGATAAGTTAGCTGTTTTAGTTGAGGGTTTATTTTCTCTTCACCTGCAAGGCATGGGTGTAGCTGAAAGGGAGCTAGGGGGCTATAAACAGGTGCTGTAGGAAGGTGCTCTTTAGGTTTTTGTCTTACAGAAGGTAGTAGCCCTGAAAAACCATGGCTGGTTGCTAGGGAGGCACAAAGCATTTTAGTTAGCAAGCTTAGGGCCCAGCCCAACGGATCAAGGTAGGACCAGCAGACCTGGTGTAGAGAGAGATTAGGAGAGTCAAGTGACTGACGCCAGTAGAAAAAGTCAATGCCTTTGCATAAAGGAGTCCCTGACAGAAAAAGTGAGGACACCTCACTCAGTAAGGATAGTCATGTGCAACAGGTGACTTCTGACCATCATGCATGCTACTGTCCACACTCAGAAGACAGCAGTCCACGTGGCAACATGGAATGTGAGGACTCTACATCAGATTGAGAAATTGGATCATGTCAAGCATGAAATGAAAAGATTAAAGATCAATATTCTAATTCTGTGATACACATTGGAAAGAGGCTGAAATTATTGTTTCAGAAGATGTGAAGATCATCTATTCAGGAGCCCAGGTTCCTGAAAGAGGAGTTGGGTTGATGTTGGATGAACAAACATCAAAAATGTTTCCATGGTTTTGGGCAATATCTGATAGAATGATGCTTGTGAAAATAAAGGCTAAACCTTTCAACATTGCAATAATACAAACCTATGCACTGACAGCTGAAAGTGAGGAAAAGGACATTGACCATTTCTATGAAGACCTTGATAAAGTGAAAAAAACAATGCAAACTTCAAGAAGTGGTCATGGGAGATCTAAATGTGAAAGTTGGTTGTGAACAAGTGGATCATACTGTTGGTTCTCAAGGACTTGAAGAAAAAAATTAAAGAGGAGAGAGATGGGTTGATTGGTGTGTTGCAAATGATCAAGTCATTATTACGACATGGTTTGAACATCACCTGAGCAGAAGGTACACATGGAAAAGTCCTGGAGATAACGTTAGAAACCAAATTGATTATATCACCATCAACAGAAGATTCAGAAACACAGTTCAACAATTGAAAACTTACCCAGGGGCTGACTGTGGAAGTGACCATGTCCCTGTAGTATGCACCATCAAAATAAGGTTGAGGAAACTGAGATAGACGAGGGATAGGGCATCAACTACTAACACAAGCCTGAAAAATGGCAACCTCAAAACCAGCACCCCAGGGAACAATACGAAGCTTTCTCTGACACCAGCCAATGGAGAGGTTATTCCACCACTCACCAGAAAGCCTAGGGCCTCCATTGGCAAGCTTAGTTGCCTGCACACTAACACCAGAAGCATAGGGTACAAGCAGGAGGAACTGGCCTTCATACTAATCAACAAGCTATACAATCTCATAGGGATCACAGAGACCTGGTGGGATTCCACCTATGACTGGACCACAGGCATGGGGGATACACCCTGTATAGGAGGAATCATGTTGGGAAGAAGGGTGAAGGAGTTGCACTCTATGTGAAGGAACATGACACCTCCCTTGAGGCAGAACATGGAAACAAAGAAGGGCAACTTGAGACCCTCTGAGTCAAGATATGGGGAAAGTGCAGGGAAGTGGATTTGACTGTAGGAGTCCTATTACAGACCTCTGAACCAAGAGCAACATCTCAACCTAGAATTCTCTAGAGAACTGGCTGAGGCTACATGCTCTCAGAGCATGGTCATTGTGGGTGATGTCAACTACCCAAACATCTCATGGGATGAGCACTAAACTAGATCCGATTGCTCACAAAGCTTCCTTACTTGTGTTTAGGAACTCTATCTAACACAAGAAATCTATGAGCCAACCAGAGGCAAGGCACTCCTAGACTTGGTTCTAGCCAAAGGAGACAATCTAGTGAGCAACCTGAGGATCGAAGAGAAACTGGGACACAGTGGCCATGAAACAATCACTTTTTCAATCCACTCTAAATCAGGGAAATCAGCCAGTAGGGTAGAAATCCCTGATTTTAAGGAAAGCTGATTTCCACATACTCAAGAGATTGATTGGAGAGGCCCTGTGGGACCATGGTCCGATCGTAGAATCATAGAATCATAGAAGCAGGGTTGGAAGAGACCTTATAGATCTTCAAGTCCGACCCCCTGCCAGGGCAGGAGAAAAAAAAACTGGGCTCAAATGATCCCAGCCAGGTAGGCATCAAGCCTCCTCTTAAAGATCCCCAGGGTAGGAGCCAGCATCACTTCCCTTGGAAGTTGGTTCCAGATCCTAGCCACCCTAACTGTGAAGCAGTTCTTACGGATGTCTAATCTAAACCTCCTCTCCAACAACTTGTGGTGAAGAAGGGAGTACAAGAAGAGTGGTTGTGGCAGCAAAGATCGCTCTGCCAGCCCCAAGGATGGTACAGGTCCTAGAGGAAAGAACCTGGAAGTGCCTAAAGAGTGACGGAGGAGTTGCTCCAAGCACAAATGCTTACCTTGTCAAAGATGAGAAGTCTAAGGCTGTTAGCCTGCTTGACAATTTACAGGATGATCTTGTAGGGGACCACCTACAAAGGCTAAATATCTATAAGTCAGCAGGACCAATGAACTGACCCAGGACCGAGAGTGGTAAAAGAACTGGCTGATGTCATCACTTGACCAATGGCAAAATTATTTGAAAACTCATGGCACTCAGGAGAGGCTCTGGAGACAGGAAAAAGGCCAGTGTGCTACCTATCTTTAAGAAAGGGAGAAGGGAGAACCCAGGAAATTACAGACCAATTAGTTTGACCTCAATCCCTGGTAAAATCCTGGGGAAAATTATCAAACAATTTATTACATACAGGCCTCAACTACTTCACAGTCTGGTGGTTAAGTAACTAGCTCCATAATAGGACCCAAAGCATATTGATTAATGGAACTGAGACATAATGGCAAAAGGTGACCAGTGGCATCCCTCAGGGTTCAGTACTCAGACCAGTGTTCTTCAATATGTTCATCAATGATTTGGATTCAGGTATTATAAGCAAACTGGCAAAGTTCACTGACAGCACCAAAACATGGGGGAGTGTGGTTATGCTTGAAGACAGGCTGGCAATACAGGCCGACCTGGACAGGCTTGTGAGGTGAGAAGACCTCAACCTGATGTTGTTTAATACAGAGAAATGTAAAGTGCTCCATCTGGGGAGAAATAATCCGCGACACACTTACAGGCTCAGTGGCTATGCTTGCCATCACCACAACTGAACAAGACCTGAGTGTCATGATTGACATCAAAATGAACATAAGCCACCAATGCAATGCTGTAGTTGGCAGAGCTAATCAAATATTGGCATGCATTCACCAAGACATCTTGAGCAAGGCAAAGGATGTCATCCCCCTGCTCTACTCGGCTTTGGTAAGACCACAACTGGAGTACTTAGTCCAGTTCTGGGTGCCGCACTTCAAGAAGGATGTGGAGAAGCTTGAGAGAATCCAAAGGAAGGCCACATGCATGATTAGAGACATGGAGACCAAGTCATATGAGGAGAGGCTGAAGGACCTGGATTTGTTCAGCCTGGAGAAGAGAAGACTCGGGGCGGGGGGGTCTTGGTGGCAGTCTATAAATATGTCAAGGGCATACATCAGGGTTTGGGGGAAAATCCATTCACCAAGAACCCCCAGAGAACAAGAAATAATGGGCACAAACTGACTGAAAATCACTTCAGGCTAGACATAAGGAAAAACTTCTTTGCAAGTCAAGTGCCAAGGGTTTGAAACAGGCTCCCACAGAGGTGGTACAGTCATCCACCCTAGCTATCTTCAAAAAACATCTTGATGCCCATCGTTCTGGGATCATCTGATCCCAGCAGCCTTTCCTGCCCAAGTGCAAATGGGGCTGGACCCAAAGATCTGTAAGGTCCTTTCCAGCCTCAAACAACTATGAAACTATGATATTTAAGAAACCAAAAGTGACAAAGAAGCTTGATTATTCAATTCTAATAGGAAAAGATATGATTAAAGAAAGGTACACAGTTGCAGTCAAAAATTGTTTTCAAGAACTTGAAGATGAAGAAAATATGTCAAACTGGGAAATTTTTACAGATGCACTAGCTGAAACAGCCAAGGAAGTTATTTTATCAAGAGTAAGCCAAAAGAAACAGAAATGAATGACTAAAGAAAGCCTTGAACTTATGGAAGAAAGAAGAAAGAGGAAAACCTGGAGTATGGAAGAGTATAAGAAACTGGACAAAGGAAGTTGATAAATGTGCAATGAAGAAAAGGAAAAATGGCTTTATGACAAATGTACAGAGATAGAAAAACAAAAGGATGAAGATGTTACATCAATGTATAGGAATATCAAAGATATAACAGGCAAAGGAGGATATATAAAAGCCAAGGAGATGTATAAAAGTCAAGAATGGTGATGTAATTATGGAATGAGAATAAGTATTGAAAAGATGGGCAGAGTACATTGAAGAGTTATTCCACAACAGTCAAAAAGATCTGCAATCTATTAAGAAGAACATAGATGGTTTGAAAATTCTTAAGTCAGAAGTACAAAGAGTTATCAACTGAATGAAAGCTATCAACCAATAAAGCTACAGGACCAGATAAAATTGCAGTAGAACAAATAAAATGTTTGGAAAAGTTTGTTATAGAGAGTTTATCATCAATGAGATTTGTGAAAGTGGAGAAATACCTGAGGATCTCAGTAAATCAATCTTTATTGCACTCCCCAAAGACCTGGAGCCAGTGAATGTGAACTCCATGAAACCATCACTTTAATGAGTCATGTGACAAAGATCCTATTAAATGTGCTGATGTAGAGAGCTAGAAGTAGAATAAGACTGGACATTGCAAAAGTTCAATGTGGTTTTGTTGAAGATCAAGGCACAAGAAATGCTATCTTCATGGTATGAATGCTTTCAGAGAAGGCAATAGAAATGAGGAAAGACCTTTTCTTGTGTTTTATTGATTATCCCAAAGCTTTTGATAGTCAAGCATGAGGAGTTAATGGAAGAACTGGATATTGATAGTAAAGACTTGAGAATTTTAAGAAACCTCTATTGGGACCAAACTGCAGCAGTGAAGATAAAAAATGAACTAAGTGATTTCATCCAAATTAAGAGAGGTGTGAGGCAAAGCGGTGTTTTTTCACCTGACTTGTTCAATTTATACAGTGAGAAAATACTGAAGGAGATTGAGGATTTACCAGGGCTGATCATTGGCAAACATAATTTGAACAGCTTTCAGTATGCTGATGACATGGTCTTAATAGCTGATTCAGAAGAGAAAATTCAAGGAATTTTAGATAAAATTGTTAGTGAAAGTGAGAAGAAGGGATTTAACCATCAACTGTAGAAAAACAGAATGCATGGTAATTACAAAGAAGATCATTCCTGTATGCAACATCAAAGTGGAAAAGGAACAGATATGACAGGTCAATAAATTTATCTACTTGGGAGGCTGGGTAACATCAGATGGTAACTGTGATCACAAAATAAAACAGAGAATAGGGATGGCAACGGATGCATCTCTGAAAATGAAAATGATATTGATAAATAGTAAAATCTCTGTGGAGACAAAGTTAAGAGTTTTGGATTGCTATGTTATACCAGCCCTTATGTATGCATCAGAATGCTGGACAATATTGCCAAGTATGGAGCAGAAAATTGAAGCAAGTGAGATGTAGTTCTTAAGTTGCATCTTGAAGGTATGTTGGACAAGTCACATTTCAGTTGAAGATATTTTGTTAAGATCAGGCTGTAGAAGGAAACTGCTGATTAATATCAGAAAGAGACAGTTGGAGTTTCTTGGACACATTATGAGGAAAGAGGAACTTGAAAGTCTGGTCATAACTGGAAAGACTGAAGGAAGGAGAGATTGTGGAAGACAGGTTGACTTATGTCAGGAGTAGGCCTCAAAGAGAAGAGATCTGTGGAAGACCATGGGCACGAATGTTCTGTTTGGATATGGTACCTAGAGAGAGAGATAACCAAGAGCTCAGCTTCAGTAGTAGGGCTGGAGAATGCCTTCAGCCATGTCTACCCCATAACCTAGTTGTTAGGACACAAACCTGAAAAGTGGGAGATATAGGTTCAAATCTCCTAAATGGGACCTAAAACTCAGCTTTCTGACTTCATGAGGAATTTTCCTAACTATTAGAGTATTGGACAAAAGGTAGCTGGATCATGTTTCTGGTAAACGTTTTTCTAGGACCAAATATGAGTCTGACACGTGAAATGTGCAGCCCTGAGCATTTCTTATTAACTGTTGTTAAATGATTCCTGCTCTCTGAGAGAATGGGAAAGCATACACCTTCCAGGGCTGAATAGCTTTACTGTCCTGAGGCAAGACACATTTTTTGGCCAAGCATCCGCTTAAATTTAAACTTCTATTAAGCAGAATAGAACCTGAAGCCTTGTTTCTTTGTTTCTTGTTTTCTGATAATGATTTTTCCATTGTTCCAGTATCTTCTTATGCAGACAGTGTGGAAAGAACTTTTCTTTCTTAAGCTATATCCACCCTATTCCTCAAAGGGCTCCCATCTGAATGTCAGATTTTTCAGATTAACGATCCTCAATTGCTCCTGGTCTGGAGGCTGCATAAGACCAGCCCTACTAGCAAATGGGTGAAGATTCCATAATACCAGCCCTACTATATACACCAAGGCAGTCAGTGAAACAGTAACTGCATACAATCAATCAGAATTCATATAATTCACATAGACAATTTTCCCAAACTCTTTCTTCTTCAGCAATCCCTCACAGCCAAAGATGATTGGGACTTTATACATGCAACAAAATTGGCTTTTAACCTGGCTTAATTGCCCTTTTGCACCACTTCACTGGTCTTGCTATTTACACACTCGGCAGCGTATTCAACTTTAATGGCATTGCTGTTTACATGCTTGGTGGCATACTCCACCTTAAATGACTTTGTTACGTAGCAAGGTAAAACCCATCCGATGTGCTCAGGAAAGCTCGGTC